TTAATGAAACTTTTGGCACGCGTTCATGTCTAAACCGAGTTGTAGGTTAAATTTTTGGGAAATTTACCATTGATTTCATTAATACAATTAAATTATCCATAGGAAATGGCGTATGCGCGTGAGGTGTATGAGTATAACACCAGTGTCATCAAAGGCGCTTTTCGTCCGAATTTGGTGCAGAGATTCGCAAAGGTGGCTGAAAGTTTTGAAGATCAAAAAGTCAACGAAATTTGGGAAATCATGAAGTACATGGTCAATATAGCACCAGTATCAAAAAATCGCGATCCCATACAAAATCGCACACAAATAACTCAATTTATTGACCAAGCCAGAAAATATTTGGAAAATAGGTTTGTATATTTAAAAATTAGATTATTCTTGTTTGCATAATAAATGTTATTTTTGCCTTTTGTATTGCAGATATAAATTATACATGTCGACAATCATTAGCAGCAATTTACGCGAAGCTCAACGTGGGGGCGTGCCAAGTACATTTAATTTAGTTTCTTCGTTTGTAGGTCTGACTTTCAACCAAGCGAACTGTTTTGGCTTGCAGGACGCGAGTATTGACAACAAACCACTCTGGCCAATGGTATACTTTTGTTTACGTTGTGGTGATGTGCAATCGGCGCTACGTTGCATGCAAATGGGCGGGTAAGCAAAATAATCAAAATTTTGTATTCCAATTTTAATTTTTTCCAACCTCTGCAGTGCGGGACACGAAGATTTCATACAAGTACTGGAAGACAAAATAAACAAGCCAGAACAAAAGATTAATTCCAAGTTAGAAGGCCAATTAAGATTACATTATTGCAATAAAATAAAAAATTCTACTGATCCATATAAGAAGGCGGTAGGTGTACACACATATTGCATATATGTATATAGGTAGTTTAAAATTTCGATACAAATATACATAATTCCTAGGTTTACTGCATAATAGCAGGATGCGACATTAACGAACAACACTTAGAAGTTGCCAAAACTACCGATGACTTTCTCTGGATTCAACTCTCCTTACTACGCCCAGAGTCCAATGACAACACCGAAGTGCTGACCTATTCTGGCCTACAAACAATGATACTTGAAAAGTATGGCGAGAAGCATTTCAATGCCAGCGAACAGCGGCACCTGTACTTCCAAGTTCTTGCATTGACCGGTCAATTCGAGGCAGCTATTGAGTTCCTAGCACGCACTGACCAATATCGCACGCATGCTGTTCATATTGCATTGGCGTTGAACGAGATGTTCCTTATCGGAGGGCCACGTAATGTGCAAGAGCCATTGTGTACGTAATATTCAAATTGTACTGCGACTTTTTTCAGTTTTTACATGACTTTTCATTTTTGCACAGTTTGTTCCGGTAATTTTTGTATATCGATCCAGTTCTGTGATGGGCCAACCATTGCATTCAACAGCTTTACCTTGTCCTGTTGCCATTCATTACGTATACACTCCCAGCGGCGCTTTTCTGCCGCCTCAAATGTCTGTGAATACAACGTGATGAAACAAGTTAACTATGTATGCACACTCAAAATAGTTTTGTAGTACTTACACTTCGGTTAACTTCTTCGATCATGGATAATATAGCGTTTTCCTTTTCGTTCTTCAAAAAACCACGCACGTCAGTATCGGCAATAGGATCAAGGGGCTCAAAAGTTTTTCGTGCATTTAATGCCTCCAACTTTTGCGAAATTTTCGGAAGATCTATGCCTTTTGAACCGAGTAGAATGTGGCTGAAAGATTTAAGGAATATAGAGCGATCGTTAAGAGATGGTCGAATATACATAGTAAAATGGTATCACCACATACGCCTGTATGTCCTGCGCGCCAGTTTGAGTAACACGTGAGTGCAGCTCCTGTGTCGCCTGCAAAACTTGCGAAATTGTACGTTCAACACGCGGCAACTCCTCGGAGTTCTGCGTCTCGTTGGTTAAGCGTTGTGCTTGCTGCAACAATGTATTGAAATCCATTTTTTTTTAAATCTGTGTTTTTGTTAATTGTAAAAAAATTAAAAATTCTTGAAAAAAGCACTCCTATAGAAATTAGAGCGTTTGGCGGCAGCAATTTGTTGACAGAATAGTGATGTCGGAAAAACATCGATGCCAAGGTGTATTTAACAAGGTGGTTTGATCGATGCATCGAAAATATCGATGTTTTGCTTCGATGCATCGAAAATTTTCCTTTCGACGTATAAATAGTCGATGTATCGATGTTTTTTGAAAACTGACATCTACGGTACATTTAACGTCATTCCAGTTTTTCAATTGTTCAAAAAAAAAAAGAAGTGACTTTGGCCAAGAAATTTAAATAGCTGCAAGATGTTCCGTTAGAACCATAATTAGCTCAGTTGCAATAATTTATTTAAAATTTTCTACAATTTTGCTAATAACATATTTTGTTGTGAAACATCTGAAAATGCTATGCAAATCGATGCATCGATGTATGCCCTTCGATGCATCGAAAAATATCGATGTACATTTCGATGCATCGAATCAAAGAAAAACATCGAAGTATTTTTGCCACTGACATTCCTATGACAGAAGTGTTCCGATACGAGTAACTACGAGAAACAATCGATTCTTTATTCAAGTACTGATTACTTATGGAATACTCGAATCATTCCCGCAAGTACTTAGGTGGGTATCGAGTACGCGGTTAAAGTATTAAGGCGGCTCTCCATTACGTTCGTGCGTTTGACAGAAAAATTGAATATACAAACTTATATGGCAGCACCCATGAAGCAATATTAAATTATGTTCACATATATATATTATCTCAATCAAAGCTCGTTTACATTTGGCATTTCTCCTCTTCTTTGCAAAAATAATCGATAAAAGCAGGTTGGACAACGAAAAGTTATCGGCTAAATCTGAGATTATTTTATAATTACAGATTAACAAGGGACGAATTTTGTATGGCTAATCTCTTTCTCTAATTACAGATTAGGGAGTTCGCGTAAAAACCACTTCCAGTGAAGAAACAAAACATATGATGACGACCACGGCTGACATCATCGCCATCCAAGAAATGCGTTGGACGGGGCAAGGCAAGCAATGTCTAGGGCTGCCATGTAAAGGAGCGCAAATTCGGAGAGAGAATCCNAATGTCTGGGGCCTTGCGACGTCTACTACAGCTGCCATGTAAAGGAGCGCAAATTCGGAGTTGGATTTGTGGTGGGAGAGAGACTCCGTCGCCGAGTACTGTCGTTCACCCCGGTGGACGAGCGTCTAGCCACAATCCGCATCAAAGCGACAACATCTCGCTCATCTGCGGCCATGCCCCAACGGAAGAGAAGGATGGAGGTATCCAAGGATCTCTTCTATGAGCGCTTGGAGCGCACGTATGAGCGCCGCCCCCGTCATGATATCAAAATCGTGCTTGGCGACTTCAATGCCCGGATGGGCAAGGAAGCGATCTTTGGAACCACCGTCGGAAAATTCAGCCTCCACGACGAAACGTCCGACAACGGATTGAGGCTGATCGACTTCGCCGGGGCCCG